AATACAACCTTACTGAATAAAAATATGAATCTCTTAAAAATTGAACGAAAAATTAATAAATAAAATGTAATATATATATAGGCTACACTTCACTGATGTTAGTCTATGCAGCTGTGCATGCACCAAGAGCTTGTAACACTCCAAAGAGAAAGGAACAATTGAAATCGCATCATATGACCCCTTTAATATTCTGTTGTTTGATTTTTAAAGGACCCTTGACATGCTGATAGATAAGTCATTTCATAACAAATAACACACTGACAACAACAAGATCAACAGCATTAATAAGGCCAGAAAACATCAAAACAATAATCCTATAACAGTAATGACATAATTGATTCATGCTGCAATGCATGATGGGAGCCCGTAAACAAATCAGCAGCATTGTTCAATATGAAACTGTTTGTTCAGACAGCTCTGTTCTGTTGGGACAACATTTGGGTTGAATATTGTATGTGTTTTTATGTAAAGTCACATTTCATATCTTCATATCTGTGACTCAAAATGTTCCATATGCTGCAGTTACGTTAAATGTAATAGCTTTTTTTTAACCATGTGATTGTCTGTTTATTCACATTAATGATAGAGCTGATGGCCACATATCAGTTTGTTTGCGCTTGAATCATCTCACAGACCCTGACCTCTGCATGGATGATACAAAGATGATATGATATAAACTCCTAGGCTAAACTTGTGGAAAACAGTGAACTTACACCTCAAGCACATGTCGACATGAGCACATCCGAAACTTTAGACCAACCTAAATATACTGTAACCACACACAAGCGAGTTTCCCTGTATACATGCATTCTAAACACGTGAAACACCACTATTACCACCACTATTAATTTAGCTGATAATCGGTAACACTTCACATGTTAACATTAGTTAACTACAATAGTTAACATGAACTAACAATGCAAAATACTTCTAAATCATTTATTAATTTGAGTTAAATTCAAATTTGCTTAAAATGTACTCACCCTCAGGCCATCCGAAATGTAGAAGAGTTTGTTTCTTCAGGATAGAGGACTCATTTGAAGTTAAAAGCATCTTTATTATGGATTTGGAGTTGTGCAGATTACTTGTAGAATATTGTGATGTTTTTATTAGTTGTTTGGATTCACTGCAGAGGGTCCACTGGTGAGTAAGTGATGTAGGCCTAATGCTTAATTTCTCCGAATCTCTTCCCATAAAAAAAAAAAAAAATGCATCTACATCTAAAAATGCATCAACATCTTAAAGTTGCAGCTCTTAAAGTGTCCCTATTATGAATTAAAAAAAAAAAGACCTTTCATGCAGTGTGTAACACAGCTCTAAGTGCAAAGTTTTAAATCTGAAAGTGCACCGTGTATAAAGTTATTGTCTCTCAAAAGTAAGAGTCGACTCTGAATCATTGAAACGAGTCGTTTTTAAAACAAATCCCAAGCAATTTTATGTTGACGTCAACATGAAACATTAGCATATTGGTGGTCTTTTTGCGTTGGGCTGAATGCAAATGCAAAGTCATTCTTTGCCACTAGGTGCAGCTTTTGGAGCGGTAAACATAGCGGTTTCCCCGGTAAGGCTGTACACAAAACAGCACTGCGCTCACAAACGCTGCTTTATCAGGCATTACAGGTGTATGATGAAAAGAAAATGAGACCAATCGGACCAATCACCGCAGATTAGCGTCACGCAAATGAGGGGTTTGGAAAAATGAATCGTTGAGCGAATCGTTTGGGAGTCGTTGAGCAAGTAAGGTAAAAATAAATGCATATTATAAGACAATGAAAGTGTTTTTTGACCTTGCATGCATGTCAACCTGTTGTTGGGGACTCCCAAAACCAAAATATGAACCTTTCATTACCCACAATAGGGGCACTTTAACATTATATAATGGTCCTGTCATGAGCTGACATTAACTAATGAACATCTGTATTTTTATTAAGTGATATTAACAAAGATGAATACATTTTTTTTTTTAAATTTCTCATTGTTAGTTCATTTTAGTTAATGTGTTACCTAACATTAACTAATGGCACCTCATTGTAAAGTGTTATTTTCAGCTATCTTTAGCTCTGACACTTCCATACTTAGAGTAAACAGCTTATCATTGGCCGGCGTTTGGTCATAGGCCTGTTACACCATATATCACAACTTCCTCCTCCAGAAAATCACCAGTATAAGCTAAAACAGATAATCTTTTTGAGGTTATTCAAAGTTAACAATGTACTTATTTTATTTAAATAATAATATTAAGTAAATGTCCAATATTGACAAAATGACTGATTATACAGCAGCAGAACTGCCAAGGAGGGCTGATTTGGTGATCTCTATTTTGGTGGTAAATATCAGTGTTCTCGTAGGCATGTGTTTGTGTATAATGTTTTTTAGAAAGCAATTAAGAAGACATAGTGTTACTGGAAAGGAAGAGCATGCAAAACTAGATCCCTCACCTCAGGCATTACAATCTAGTATGTTGAAATGTGTGAGGCAAGTCGCAGCAGGTTATTTTCAGAAGGTGAACGTTACAGTAAACCCCACCTTATGCAAAAAGTTCTGCCAAGACTGTCAGCTGAGTGAGGAGTGTATGGCTTTCTAGGAATGCAGTACAGAGTAGTGTTGTTCAAAAACAAGAGCTCGACCTACTGCAGGAACCTGTTTTCAATGCGCCCCCTGTTGGACAAACAAACACATCTAAAATTAATCATTAAATTTTCCCCTTTAAGTGGATAAATAAATAAATATTCTTAATCAGTTATACCTCTAATAATGATAACCTCCTTTATGTTTGAAAGGGCAACATGCTAACAGGTTTGAACTGAAGAACTAGGCCACACAACGTCTTCCGCTGAACTTGTTGAGATGGAATTTCAACTATTGGATTGCGTGAGCTTCTCAGTGTTTCCACCCTCATTCCTACATCAACCACAGTTCAGTCATTTCAGTTCAGTTTGTCTTCTGTTTGAAGTGTCATTACATTGCCTACTTTAAAAGCATTAAAGTTATAAGAAGGGTAATCATTTAGTTTGGACATCTATATAACTGAAAAAAGAATTTAATTTGATTTCAATTAAAGGGATAGCTCACCCATAAATTCTGTAATCATATTCTCACACTCAAGTTGTTCCAAACCTGTATGAGAAGACAAAAGGAGATATTTTGAAGAATGTTGGTAACCAACCAGTTGCTGGCAGCCATGGACTTCCATAGAATGGAAAAAATCCTATGAAGTCAATGGCTACCAACAACTAGGTTACCAACATTCTTCAAAATACCTTCTTTTGTGTTCAGCAGTAGAAAGTAACTCCTACATGTTCAGAATTGTTATTTTGGGTCACCCCAAAATGACAAACTAACCAATTTGTTTATTTAACTTAATTTAATTTATTGGCTAGAACCCATTTTGACACATTTTTAGATTTGGCAATGCGGCTTTTTAGTACTTGTTTTTTTTTCACACTATGCAGATTTTACTTAAGATCATAATAAATAAATACATAATGAATAACCTTCGGCCTTCACAAGACAAAGGACATTTAATTTAGTGATGTCAGTATTGTGTTGATTATCAATGATATTTTCCTAAGAACAAACTTTCTCAAACAGACAAACAAAATAAGTAACACCTTATTTTAAGGTGTCCTTGTTACACATATGTACTTACTATTATAATAACAATTAATTATGCTTAATTACATGCAAGTAACCCTAAGCCAAACCCTAATCCTAATTCTAACTAAATAGTAAGTACATGCACTCTAAAAAATGCTGGGTTAAATATAACCCAGCGCTGGGTTAAAAAGGGACAAACCCAGCTATTGGGTTGTTTTGACCCAGTGGTTGGGTTACTACCCAGAAGGTTGAGTTAAACATTTAACGCAACCGCTGGGCCAAAACAGCCCAATTGCTGGGTTTGTCCCTATTTTACCCAGCACTGGGTTGTATTTAACCCAGCATTTTTTTAGAGTGTGTAGTTAATGTAATGTAGTTACATGTAGTTATTACTCAGTACTTAAATGTATAATTACACTTTAACAAAGACACCTAAAAATAAAGTGTAACCACAAAATATGTGTTCTCTACCAGATTACTGGAAAACTAGCATTTGAAGATCTCAGCTGCTAAGCTAAGAACTGGTATTCAATGCCAGATGACTAGTGATCATGTAGTGGTAGAGATTTTACAACTTCTTGTCTATAAACATCATAGATAAGATTTTATAGCATCTCTTTTGTTTCTATGCCCTTCCTGGGTCAACAATCACAACAAATACTTTAGAAACAAACAACACAGGGAGAAAAATCGCACTTAAAAAAGCTTTACAAAGTGCCAAAATTGTCCTAATTTCAGTGGCCGACTTCAGAATGAGTTCAACTCTCTCACATCCGCTTGTTCAAAAGCAAGTTGCACTGTCACTCAAGTTGCTGCTTTAGGAACAATTGCATAAAAAAATGTGAATGCCTGTGCCAAATACTGCAGGATGGTACGGTTATCCCGTAAACAGCGATGTTGTGTGGAAGCACTTGGCAACAAAGTGTTTGCCAGCCAGAAATAAATCGGCTCATTATGGTGCTCAGCCTTTTAGGGCAAATTAACAAGGTTTGCGAGGAAGTAAGTGCTGTCATTATCCTGGTGTCACTCCATAATGCCGGTGTGACACATGCTCAAATTTGCGATATTCAGGTTTATGGGCATGTATGTCTAAAACATCATTAAAGAGCACTTTGCTGTAGCAAATAAAACAAAGACCTCACGCCACTTTGTTAAATTAGCTGTATTTTGATTCACCATTTGCACATCCTCTATTTATTTAAAACCAACTAACCCATTTTTTCAAATAGAATTCTCTGCTTTGTGGGTCATTTTGTCTAATTTAAAAGGTCACGGAAAAGAAGTGCGTCAATAACACACGAATCACGGTTTGCGTAGTATATAAATGAAGACGTTCCGAGGTCAGAAAACGAAAGACTTCCATAAGCTCAGCAGAAGACACTGCTTTCACACTATTTCCAGCCATGAAGGTGGTGCTGCTGGTGGTGCTGGTGGTGTTGGTGGCGTGGGCAGATTCGACCCAGGCCCAGAAAGCTCTGAGACTCTGTGGCCGCGAGTTTTTTCGGGCTGTCGTCTACACGTGTGGGGCTTCCAGATGGAGGCGGGGCCAAGCTGAGGACCCCTTAAATGGTCAGTATATATTTTGTCTTTGCTTGATCAGTCATCATGACAGTGTAATTGATGGCAGAAAACAAACTCCCAGTGTAACATTTTTGGTAGTTGTTGATAATTAATGTAACAACACCAACAACTAAAATTTTAGACACTGTCTCAAATTTATTATGTTATAAAGTTTAGTGGCCTGCCTTTTACAGATATATAATATAATATAATATAATATAATATAATATAATATAATATAATATAATATAATATAATATAATATAATATAATATAATATAATATAATATAATATAATATAATATAATATAATATAATATAATATAATATAATATAATATAATATAATATAATATAATATAATATAATATAATATAATATAATATAATATAATATAATATAATATAATATAA